AAACCGGAAAATTTTACGTGGAAAAATAACTTTAAGATAAAAGATATTAAAAGTGCAAGGGAGGTACCACAGCTGGTTTTTAAAATAAGTGTTAATTTTACCTCTTTCAAGGGCGATATTGCTACCAGTTCAGGCATTGGATGTTTTCTCCAGTTCAGGACACAGAAAAATGACTCATAATTGATTTGTTTTTCATTGTCTTCAAACCTGAAAATATAATTGTCATATATGATTTGACTCAATCTGCAAATTTCAGGACCAAAATGTCAGTTTAAATGCTACCATGAAAACATACTATTAGGGGTACTTCAATGAATGATATTTTTCTTATTTATTTTTAGTTTGTATCTGTTTCCAACCCTTCAGAATGTAAACTATTTGCAAGCAGAGATCTCACAAATCTAATCAACCAAAGTATCCCAGCATCTAGATCAATGCTGGCCCTTAGTAGGTGTTCAATAAATATTTGTCGCAGTTGCCACAGAAACAAATTAGTTTATTCAGTAACTAAGACCACTGTTATATTTTGTTAACAATATGTGAAGGTCTTTTAAGTCTAATATGGTTGACACTATATGTCAGTAAAATAAAATGCCCTTATATTTCTTAAATTGCATGCCTTTTAAATCTTTAAGGCAAGCTTAGATTCACTTTGTCTAATATATTTTTAGGAAAAATAAAAGACATCTTTATCATTTATTATGTAGACATTAAAAGGGGTTCTTTAGATCTATACATGCTGTTATAGAAATATATGTTCATGACATACTGTTGAGTGGAAAGGAAGTTATAAAATAGCAAGTAGAGTTATGATCTTACTTTAGGTTTATACTTATATAAAAAGGCATAGAAAAAAGTCTAGTAACAATACACTGAACAATACCTATCTCTGTGAAGAGAGATAAAGATTTTTGCTTTTTCCTAGACTTTCTTGTATTATCCGAATGTCTTTAAATTTATAATCAGAAAAAAAATTAAGCCTATTTTCATTAAAAATAAACAAATGATTATCCTGTACCATTAAACTACAGATCAAAAATAATAAATCTATAAAACATGTCTCAGGTTACAGAATCTAGGTAGACTTTAATAACATTAGTTTGGGTTCATTATATTTATTTTTATAGTTACCTTCCATTAACAGCAAGTGATTCAGATTTTTCCATTTGGTAATACTATGAAGCATCCCATGTAAAAAGTGAGGTGATTTAAATAAATATATTAAATAAAAAAAAATAATAAATCTATTTGACTACTATTTCCTAATTATGTACATTGACATAAATTCATCCTTAACCGTAATAGAGTTTTCGCTGTTAAGACCCAGTAATATCAACACAATTGCTATAATGACCTACACACAAACAAAATACTTTGTGTAATACCTCAATACCACTTATTCCGAATTTCACCACATTCTGCCTATTTTTAAGGTTAAATATATACTGGTCATGTGACACAAAAGTGGTCACTAAGCCACTGTTCCACCCTGCCTTAGGCTCCTGCCTTTCTCTCGAAACCTCCAAATCAACACACTCCTCCAACTAGTAAGTTAGGTGCACAAGTTACTAATGCGAGGATGAATGGAGGATAATTATAAGAAAACTCAGAGATGATAAAAGTAGAAAAACAACATACTCATAATCGGTCAAAAGACTTTTCTCATTTTTCTCAAAATATTAAGAAAATAATAACTCATATTTATAAACTAATAAAAATTAGGAGCAATAAATTAAATGTTACAAGATAAAGTGACATAGACCCATCAATCTAAACAAAGTAGAGTAAACAGTGATTGGAAGAGGGGAAAGGGAATTCAGTAATTCTTTTGTGTACATTTTCTTTGGCCAAGGATACTGGGATACAACTCCAATATGCTCCCACTACCACTGTCTATCCTCTGAATTTTGGCTCACTTGCCATTTGAACTCCTTGAAAGAACATGCTTTGTTTACGGAAATATTTGTAGCCAAAATGCAGGACCATTATGTCCTTTATTTTGTGTGTGTTTTGGGAGAAGAACTAAAACTCAATCAATTAAAGACGTTTTGTAAGAAACTTTCATTTAGCATGGAGTCTTTGAAGAAAAGTATTCCCTAATACTCTTTAGTAGGAGCTGAGGTCAGAAAATGAGATCATGAAGGGCCTTTGACTTTCAGACTGAGGAAAACTAAGAGCCAATGAGCACATTGTACAGAGCCGTAATAGGATCTAAGTTATATTTTCTAAAGATCACTCCGGCTGATATACTGAGAAAAGAATGTAAGAGCAAGGCCAAAACGGCAAGGCAATTAGCAGTCCTTTGCAGTAATCCAGATGAAAGATAATGACAGCTTAGATGATATTGGTGGCAATGGAGGGCAGTGAAAACTGGTTAATTCTGAATATATTTTGAATGTAGGATTCTTGAAAGATTGGAGAGAGAGGGAAGGGGGGAAGGAGGGGAAAAGAGAGAATGAATGAATGAATGAATGAATGAATTCTAGACAACTCCAAAAATTTTGCTTGGGCAACTGGAAAAACAGAGCTGCCCTAACTGAGATAGGAAATACTGCAAGGGCTACAGACTGGGAGAAAAGATCTGGAGTTTGGTTTTGGATATGTTACATTCTGACGGACAATGAGCAGTTGGGTATATGAGCCTGAAGTTCAGAGAAAAGGTTCAAGTTGAAAATAGAAATGCAGGAGTCATTGGCATATAGATGGTATTTAAAGCACCAGACTGGGAGATTGGACGAGATCACCAATGAAGTAAGTTTCTCTATCTGTTCCTACAGTATGAATTAATCATCAGTAAATCCCTATTACATCAATTACAGGAAGCACTTATTTAACCCTAGAGGTTTCAGAAGTATAATATTCCAGTAATTTGGGAACTAGACAAAAGACTATCAAACAGATCCAGGATCACATCAGATCTCACCCTTCACATACAATTCACTAATCAGTCCTGTGGGTTCTACCCCATAGCCTATCACAAATCTCTTTTTCTCCAACTCCTCTACTATTCACTAATTTAAAGCCACTATCTCTCTTGCATTACAGTGATAGCTTTGTATCTTGATTTTGGTTGCTTTTATTCTTATCTTGTTGCAGACAATCCTCCACCAAAATGATCCTTCTAAAACACATATCACATCAATGAATTCCTTGCTTGCAACTCTCCAATGGCTTCCTGATCCACTTAGAACACAAGCTGAACTCCTTATTAAGGCTTATAAGACCCTATGTATTCTGGTCACTGCTGACCTCTCTGATCTCATCTGAAAACTCCCTGTTCACAATGTTCCAGGTACACTAGCCTTCTTGTTATCTGAGAATACCAAGATTGTTCCCAGAAATGAAAGGCATTTGCACCTTCTGGTCTCTTTGTCTGAAAAGTCTCAACTCAAATGTTGCTTCCTCAGAAAGGCTTCCCTAAAGTTCCTCTGATCTGAGTCCCCATTCCCGAATCTTCATTTTCCCTGGATGATGGCATTGGAACTTACAGAAAAATTTCTGGAAGTCACCATTTGAGGTCCTATTATCAGACCATATTACCAATAAGTCCAATATTTATTCATGCTTGCCTGTTACTCCTGGGCCCCCAGCCTTCTTCCTTGCCTAACTTATGATATGTCAGACTCAATGTATCTATTTCAAAGGATATTTGGGAAGGATGTTCCCAAATAAAATGATGTTCAGGAAAGATTAAAAGTTGTAAATCAAGGAGTACACAGCTTAGAACTGATGTATAAAATCTTTCTGAGGAAAAATGTTTGAAAGATTTAATCTTTCTAAAGTCTCAGAGCCAGGCTCAGGGAAGAGTTGACCTAATGAAGTATAATATTCCAAGTTTTTCTTTTCATTTCTGTCTTAGAGGATCTCCATGGGTATGGAAATCACCCCAAAAGGAGCAAGGAAGTAAGAACAAAAAATCTTTCAATTAAAAGGGATAAAACTAGCTAATGCTTCTTGGAAGAATTATTTGCTCTTGGGAAGTCAATAGAGTTACAGTAAATCATGATAGATTGATCACAAATATTTATCTCCCTTTTTCACCAAAATCTCACCAAAATGACAATAAATAAAAATGGGTAATAATCCACAATGACAAAGATAAATGGAAATAAGACAAGAATGGACAAGAGATATCAAAATCTTTTGCAAGGTGGAAAACAGGCCAAGGGCAGAGCTGAGGAAGGGAAGCTGAATTCTAAATGTCTATGGTGGAGGCAGGAGGCACTTAGAGACTAACCAGTGTGGCCCGCAAAACTCTTGAGAGGCTCAGCTACTGCAGACTCCAGGTGTCCTTGCAGACTCCAAGGCAGGGATAGGTGTGGGACTGAAAACAAGGACTGTTTGAAAGCCTGAATAAAAGAGCAGCTGGAGCTCAAGTATCTTCCTCTACACTGTATTGTTCTCTGTAGGTGTGCGAGGCTTGTTCTCCAGAGAAATTCAACTAAAGAAGTTTCAGTCTTGGGGAGATAAAGCACAATGGAGGGCATTGAACTTGGACCTCTCAGCTCCCTTCCTTCCCCTTTCCTATTTGCAGAACACCAGTGGCCATGCTTAAATTCTCCTCCTTTTCCCCCATCCCATCTTATCTCTTGCTCCAGCAGGAAAAGATAGGATTCTTCTCTCAATACTCTGAATGGTCCCAGAAAGATCTCCAGATTCTAGTTTCTAGGGATTACCTAATGAAAATGAGGGCTAGTAGGTGACTCATGCAGTGAAACCCACCAATCAACAAGATCCACCCCCAAAGCTTCCAGCATTAAGGCCAGAAGCTAAAATGGCAACAGAAAAAAAAAAAGGGATCAGAGAAACAAAGACAATTCAGGTAGAAAAAAGAAAGGTGTAAGGTAAGAGGATATATTACATTCATGAAAAAAGAACAGAAGACTACAAAAAAGGAACATTCAGACTAAAACTGTGTCCTTGGAATCAAAAATATGATAGTAGTCAATAGATACAGTACAAAGTGTGGAATATAAAGTTAAGGAAATACCTTAGTAACTATATCATAATGACAAAGAAAATTGGGGAGAGAAAAGGTCCAAATTCAGGAGATCTAAAATCTTAATGACAGGAGTTGTCATAAAAGAAAAATGAAAATGGAAGGGAGGAAATTATTAAAAATTAATAGACAATTTCTCAGAACCAAAGAACAAGGCCTACAGATCGGAAAAGTCCATAAAGTGTTATGCACATTGAATCCGTATAGA